AAAAGTGATTGCTCCAGTAATTAAAATCAATGGAAACTTCCAGAAACCTCTACGATTATCGTATGTCTGCAGAACATATCAAATTTGTTCTAACATCTGTGTTGTTTTCTACGGTTTTTGATTTATTTCCAGCAAATCGCGATACTCGCATACAAAATAGAAAACCATTTTTTCTTCTTTCGGTGGTAATAAATGAAAGGTAAATTACCTTTTACGTGTCTCGGACGCTTCTTTTTGTAAAAGTGTATCAGCAACCATATTCCTTTTTTTTTGTAAATCCGACTTTTGGATACCTAAATGTTGGAGCTCTTTTGCAAACATGTTTGTGTTTTAGAATGTATTGTGCTGGCTACTATTGCCAATTGCAGATTGTCTCTGTTTCGTGTCAAGTATTTAGCAGTTTGTATGGGTTTGTAGGATTTTTTGGGCTCATTTTTTTTTTGCTATCATTCGATATGAAGCATACCCCACGAACCCACGCTTGTGTGGGGTGCTGAACAGTCGCGTATGATGCGGATTTCGTGGCGAGCATTTGCTACGATCCAACGCAGGACGCTATTCGCAGAAAACAAGATGACAAAAGCAAACCTCGTGAGCTCCGTCGCCAAGAGTGCCAGCTTGCGATCCGCTTCGCCGGCGAATCCACAGCCCCCCAAGCAAAGTAAAGGAACTGTACCTGCAATACATGCCGTAGTGGAAACCGAAGCTGAAGCCATCGAAGAGCCACTAATCCAAGCATCAGCTCCATCGAGTAGCAGTGACACACCACCTGCTAGCATTCACGAGCCAACCCTCATAGATGAAGAAGTTACTGCACAAGATGTCCGAGAAGCCTGCGTAGCAAAGCGCACGCAGTTGGCTTACGCGGTCAGCCTTCGCGTCATTTCGCGATGGATTGGGAGCACCAAGAAGAACGACTCATCGAACTACTTTGATGGAGCTGGTCAAATTGACCTCAGACGTTTTACTGCAGCGGATTTCGAGGCTTTTCTTCTTGAAAAGAGGAAAAAAGTTGGGGTGAGTACGCTGAATGGCTTTCGAAGTGCAATAAAAGACTTGTATCGGTGAAAAGAGGTTGCACTCCGGTAAGAATCCGCTTCCTTACTCGCTTTACCAACAGCTTTGCAAAGATACATTAAGCCGTCAAGACGGTGGATTTGCACACTTCTTCCTGACAACCCAGTGGAATCTCAAGTGTAGGATCTGAATCTGTTCAGACGCTGTGTACAGAACACTTTAGTGCTCACGATGATAGCGTTGGTTGCATCATACACAAATCCAAGACGAACCAATAAGGTAGTGGGCCTAAAGATCCTCGCCATCTATATGCGAACCCACTGAACCCCACTGTATGCTGGATTACAGCGCTCGCAATTTATCTGGCATACCGACAAACACAGAAAGCAGGCCCACTATTTCCTGGATCTCAACAAAAATCACGTTTTGGCACAGCGCTAAGGAAACGAATAGGTGAACAACCTGGGCTCAATCACTATGGAACTCATTCAATTCGCAAAGGCGTCGCAACTTTTACGTGCGGTGGAACAACTGGTGGTCCCTCTATCGCAAGTGTGTGCTTGCGAGTAGGTAGGTCATTAGGTGGAGTCCAAGATCGTTATATACGATACAAATCGACCGGAGACCAATATCTGGGCCGTGTTGTTGCTGGGCTCCCTCCAATTCGGGCAGCGTTTGCGGTACTACCGCCACATTTTCAGGATATACGTGATGCTGACGTTCAAGATTGCGTTGATGAGATGTTTTCCGCCCTCAAAGAAAGTAGCTCGATGCAAGACATCCTAAAATTGTGCGTTGCTTCTCTTGTTCAGCATGAACACTATCTAAGAGAGACGCTCCCGGCGACACACTCGCTCCTTTCAACTTATTTGGTTCGGCATGATGATATTATGAACAAGCTGCGGTCGGCCCTGGCTTCCAATCCATCACCATGGATGAAGCCAACTGGAATTTCCCCTCACATCGAGCTATATACTCAACGGCAGATCATGTAAAACTCAATTGACAATCTGCCACCAGTTCTCATACAAGGAATTGGTGATTTGATTGAGCAAAAAGGGGTTGATGCCAGTAACATTACCAAGGAACTTCTGGAAGCACAATCGAGAAATTACTTGAACGAGCTGGAATGGCAACGACGCCTTTATCGCCGTCTCAACAGGACAACCAGGCCAACGAAACACATTTTTTTCACTTTTACGACGGGAAATTTCACTTATTGCCCAAATCTTTCGTGTTCCCGAAAACTACACCTTTTTCAGCCTGGAAATTATGGTGATTCGGTGACAAACACCAAAAAAATCCACCGCTCAAAAACATTCACAGCCACGATCTCCCGAATCGAACTTTGCACAAAATGTTTTCAGAGTAGAGTGTACTGGTACGGAAAATCACCCAAGCTGCTGCAATCGCTGGTGCACCAATTCCAAGTAGCATGTCCGAGAAGCAAGCGGCTCAAGTGTTCCGTTCGGGAATGGATAGTTTGAAGCTGGCACCGTCGACCCGCAAACGCCGTGTAGACGAGCTCTCGGCGACTACTATAGTGAGACTTGTACGAGCACAAACGATAGTGGCAACAAATTGAACTGCATTATAGTCCACACTCAAACCTT